ATATTATGGGAACTAATGAAGAACTTTTCTTGATGCACCCTCTCCACACCACTCATGCTTTTATAGACCTCTCTCATATCCCCCCTCAGTCTCCTCTTTCCTAAGCTGAAAAGTCCCAGTCTCTTTAGCCTCTCTTCATATGGGACCTGTTCCAAACCTCTGATCATTTTAGTTTTCCTCCCTTCTCCCACCCTCTCTCTTCCCCTCTCCCACCTCCTTTTCCCAGTCTCCCCGAGTTTTGTTCAATAAAGAGAGTTTCTGTTTTTGAACACACGTGTCCTTTATTTTGTACATCAGGAAGGAGGGCTAGGGGTTAGTGGAAGGAGGTGAGGGAGGAATGGGGTAGGAGCCCCCGATGGGGAGGACTGGGGTGGCTCTGCGGGCTCCTCGGGGTGGAAGCTGTCCTGCAGCCCCCCAATTGACCCCCCCTCCCTGGATGGAAGCCTGCGGCAAGTGCAACTGGGCTGATGGCTGAGTGCTGTGATGTGCCGAGCGTGGGCACTCAGGACACTCCAAGCCAGGACTGCTTTGCTGTCCCTCATCAAGTTAGACAAGCAAGCGGGGAACCCCTGAGAACTGTCTGTCCGGGGTGGGGGTTGGTTCCTTTAAGCACAGCCCTCGGCTAGCCTGAGACATTCCTGAGTCCTAACCTGATGCCCTGCGTGCACTGCTTCCAGCCATCCTTAACCCTGGTTCAGGGTCCACTCAATGTGGACATGCTAGTTCGAATTAGCAAAATGCTAATTTGAACTAGTTTTAAGGTCTAGATGCACTAGTTCGAATTAGCTTAGTTTGAATTAACTAATTCGAATTAAGTTAGTTCGAATTAGTGCTGTAGTGTAGACATATCCTGAGTGAGAACCAGATTCTTAAAAATGTCACACAAAAGAAATAAGTTGGAGAGAGCTTTTTAAACTGTGCCTTGTGAAAGCAGAGATGGTGTTGTCTTCTCTGTTCTGTGCCCAGCACAAGTCAACACTCATCAAATTATTATTATTATTAATAATAATAATACATTAATAATTACACTTTACCTGCACCTCTACATTATTATAAACAAGCACAAAACTATCATGACAAAGCACTTACAACTACAGTTATTTTCTCTTCCCTTTGATACACACAGTAAATCGTTCTAAGATCAGGCTGAATACCTATTTTGTTTGGTGTTCCCACAGTGCCTAAGGCTGCTTATGTTTACAAAAACAATTTATTTATCACTAGGGGATATCATGGGCCCTAGAATCTACTTAAAATTGATACCGTTCATTTTTTAATTTCCAGACAGATCAATGGTTAGAAAACAGGAAGACATGTATATGCGCCGTAAAACAACTCGAATGAGATTATCTAAGTATGCTGCATACAATACATACCACCACTGTGAACAGTGCCATCAATACATGGGCTTCAATCCCAGGTATCAGGTAAGCCATACCTAATTTTAATTTAGGATACTAAATCTGTAGCAAATTTGTAAATTACATTGTGCCTACTGTATAGTATCAGTACTGGTACCCAAGCTGTATAGTTGCTCTGTAAGCATTTTCATAGAGAACTAATGTATAGACTTCGGCCCTGATCCTGCAGTTGGAGCTTTGGACAGAGCCCCAGTGAAATCAGTGGAGCCCTGCCCAGGCATAGGGATCTGTGTGAGTGGGGTTGGATTGCAGATGTTTTATCTTAGTGATCATTAACATCTGATATTGGCCGCAGTGCAAGACAAAAGCATGTTGTGAGTTCGGAAAAAAGCGTCTAGACTGGTGCGATCCTCCGGAATAAAGGGCTTTATTCAAAGTAGGAATAAGAGATCCTCCGGAAAAGGGCTTTATTCCGGAGGATCGCGCCAGTCTAGACGCTTTTTTCCAGCTTTTCCCCAAGCCGGAAAAAAAGCGGCGGCCATGTTTATTTAAATCCCACGGGGGATATTTAAATCCCCCGCGGATTTCCCTATTCCCAAGTTCAAAATTAGCATGCCCCTTCCGAAGAAGGGGCCAGTGTAGACGTAGCCTCACTGATTAATATTAATATGAGTTGTGAGGTGAAAGGTGTCACAGTGCCACATGCTGTATCCATCTGGTGTGATACTGACTTACTGATGTCTATGAACTGAGCTGTGCTTTCTTGGAAAGTGAAGTTAGA